CTCTCTCTCTCTCTCTCTCTCTCTCTCTCTCTCTCTCTCTCTCTCTCGTAGAAAAGTAGTCCAGTTCTCACCAGCCATACTGCTGCAAGCAAGCTGGGTACACTGTGAACCTCTGATTTTTTTTATAATGTCTAAATTTGCAGTGACGAGTGAATGAGTGAATGTGAAACATTTCTAAACAGCACAGTGTGCGCGAATTTTCTTTTCATCTCTCCCAGAGCCATTTCCAACCATGCAGCAAACCAGGGAAAGGGTGCACAGCTTACTCATGCATTTTCCCATCTTTAGCATCTTGGAAGTTCCCAGTATAATTCATTATATTTGACTCCAGGTTATAACTACTGTCACTAGGTCTTCAATGGATGCTCAACTTTGCTTGCATCTGTGGTCATTTCCACAACCAGCATTCCTTTAAACCAGGGACCTTTCTAGTATTAATTCTGCAGGAATCCATGGGGAAGCCTGCACATGGCAGTTGAGAACCTGTGCAGAGCCCTGTATATGGATGCTGAGTCAGTCGGCTGCCTGAGGACAATGGTCACCTGGAGTGGACAGGTCACCTGGAGGAAGGACAACATATACATCTCCGTGAAAAGACACAGGAACTGCAGCTGTCTTCCTAGGATACTCTTATCTGTGTTCTCAAGAACCTACTAGCACATACTAGGTTGTAGAAACACACACACAGACACAAGCATGCATACATACACACTGGATGCATATACATGTGCATAACGACAGTGTAGTTTTTCTATCAGTCGATGGGGAAACAACTTCAGGGCAATTAGGAGATGTAAGCACACATACCTGGATGAGATAGTGGGAACACAAATTGAGAAGTTCCAACAACTGTAGATGACTGCCAGCTGCTAACACATCTTGGATCACTCCTGGCTCCAACAAAATCTGTTTTTGTTTTTCAATAAAGAGAAAATGATCAGGTACATGAAAAATTGACATGGTAATGCTTAATTTATAGATACACCGTACTGTATTTTGGCTGCTATTTTACACAGGTATTTGAATGAAAACTGTCACCATGAAAGTCGATTCCTATGTTTGCATCTTAATATCCATAAGACAGGCCCCTTTCAAACATGTAACTTCTTCTGTTTGTATGTGGGCCAACGGTTTTCCTACATCCCAGGCTCTGCCTAGTTCCTTTGTTTTTGTAGAAAAATATGAACATTTCAAACAAAGTAGCCTCTTAGCATTCGTTCTGTAATATAGTCATTCAATGCAAACTAAATCAGTTCTAGTTTTTCAAAGTATATTTCAAACTCTTCAGTTCAATTACAGTTTAGGGAGCAGGTGTTTTAAGGTAGGGCATTTGTATTTCCTCTGGCTACGTGGAGTGGGAGGGTATTATGAGAGTGGGGTGGGCACTACGAGAGAGGGACGGGTACTGTGAGAGAGGGGTGGGTACTGTGAGAGAGGGGTAGGAATTATGTGAGTGGGGTGGGTACTGTTCTACTTACAAGTGCTGTAAAATGACAACCTTTCGTTATCTTCATGTAGGTTTTGTTTCTCTGGTCTTCTTTGTTTTAAAGGCAGCTATCACATTCATGAAATAGTGAGCACCACAAGGAAAGACAACAGGTCGTGCATATGGTGATAGCAATTATCTGCTTTTTTCTGGTTAAACCCAACTATTTGACAGGTGCTACTAGCTCACTGGAAACGGTCAAAGAAAAAGCCCACTGAAAAAGGCCACAAACTTGATGAAGAAATTCACTCCCACAAGGCCTTTAGTCCTGTCCTAGCATTCTGTCCTCAGTCCAGTAGTTCATAATCTGGCCACTGGACATCTATGCCTCCAAACTCACTAGCAATTCACTGTCATGTCCACATGAATACAGTAAGAAAGTGCACTCTTTCTCCAAATGGGGCTATCTATATCTTGGCTCTCGGTCAATATTCTTTCTTGATTTTCCTTTTTGTCTCTAACCACTCTCATTCCCAGTCTCTGTGCTTTGGAAATGAGCACAACACGGTCCTTGGACCTTTCTCTCCTCTCTCGGCTCACTCTGTAATCCTGTGACTGTAGAATCATTTATATGCTGATGATACTCGAATCTGTCTCTGTTCCCATACCCCAGATCCTCATACACAACTGTGGGTAATGGATGAAGTTCTGAGTGAATGTATACCGTGCACATGGACAGGGCATGGGTCAGATCCATGGCAGAGTCAAAGCCTTCCCCAGATAAGGCTCGGAGACATGGCACAGCCTTCTTTTGGTCCAAACACAAGTGTTTATGAATGATTGATCAGTTATGCAATAACTATCAACCACAGCTTCCTCTTCTAGGTTGACTACAGCCTAAGATTACTCCCCTCCAAAGACCTCTAGCTTAGGTTCCCCTATCTAAAGAAACCTGCCTCCTTGATTCAGATTATCAATCAAATCAGTCTTTCCTACCTGAATCAATCATTCTTCCTTGGGACATCGGCTTGTTTCCTTCCATCCTCTTTTAGACTTCTACCCAAACTGAAGTTCTGGGCTATTGCCAAAGTTGGTACCATCCATCAAAGTGAGCACAGCCCACCCTATCCCATTTTTGCCTTGCATGACTGCCTTTTCTTCATTTTCTTGATACCTCAGTTGGGTCAATTCCTCAAGCTGGGTAGATCCTGGCAACTTACTGCCACTGCAGCATGGCCTCTTAACTGTCTAGAGGGATGCTCAAACTAAGCACACCCCAGACTAAACTCTTTATCTTGTATACCACTCACCAATCCACTCCTCTTATGGTCCTGCCATCTCAGCAAAAAACAGAGCACTTTTAGGCTAAAACTCCAGAGCCATTCTTCTTTTAAAAAATAAAATAAAATTATTCTTTGATAATTTTACACATGTATATAACATGTTCAGGTCACACCCAGTCTTACTTGCTACTAATTCTTTTACTTTGGCTTGCTATATACTTAACAAATACACTTATTAAAAGTGAAAGTACAACTGTCACTCATTTTTTGGAGAGTACAGAACAACATTATCCAAGAGACTTTCTTTTCCTGACCATGGAAAATTTCCTATGGAAAATGGGATATCACTCCAAAATACATATATTATTTCCTATCTTTGCTTAATTTTCCACAGCACTTACAATCTCTTGGCATATTGTGCATTTATTTTGTTGTTTTCTGTTTCTCTACACATGAGAAACTAGCTCCAGGAGAAAAGAAGTTTGTCCTGTTCTGCATCCACAGCACATAAGAACAATGCCTAGGCATACCTGTTACTCTCCACTGAGATGTTTATTTAATTAAAACTTAGGACAAGTAACTGATTTGTTTGTACATGCTTATTTTATTTTATTAATTTATTTTATTAATTAACCTGACACAGAGAAAGAGACAAAGGAGATGTAACATATTTCTGGATCATTGAAGTAAACATGTGAAAAAATTAAGCAGAGGGCTCAAACATGCAAACATTCATCTTATTCTGAACACTGTTTTTTTTTTTACAGCTCTCTCCTCTTCTTGTAAGAAGAGAAATTTAAATTTCTGCAAATCCTCAAGGAAGAGGCTTTGATTGACATTGAGGAAATGAGAACATCTCCCATCAGAGGGGCAAGAATGGTGAACAGACTTGCAGAAGAGGCATGGCCTGAGGCAGAGAACAGGGAATAGACAGATTAGAAAGGGTAGTTTTAGCCTTTCAACCCTGTCAGTTGCGTTCATTTCACACGACTGGCATTCAGGATAACCTCCAAAGTGTGGTAATGCCAAACACAAAGACAGATATCACAGAGAGACAACATGAATATTCCATAGCATGTGTAATACGTCCAATGGGTTCAATGTGAGAAATCCTCATAGAGGAAACCCATACTGGGATTGTTTTTGCCTTTGTTTTTTATTTTTGTTCTGTAGGCTCTCTTTCCTCCTCTCATTATAAGACTTTCTAAAAGAAACTTTAGCATAGGAAAGTCTCTATGTTCTTTAGAAGGTTGCCAAAGAGAACTCTGCCATGAAAACTGGTTTTCACTTAATAGAAGCAAGCAGCATGTGTAAGCATTACTGGGCAGCATCTTTGCAGTTGAGCCCCGATGCCATTCTATGACTGACTTCTCTGCTGTATTTTCACAAAGAATTTGTGCTTGGGCAGGGATAAGCTAAGGTTCAACTCCTTGTGTCCTACAGTATAGTGAATCTGGGACCTCCTTGAACAACTGGCCAATAAAACTCTTTAAAAGGGGGCCTCAAACACTCACTTTATAGAACACAACTTTCTAATTTGTTTCCCTTTTTCTGTGATAAAACACTAACCAAAACCAACTTCAGTTCCTTCAGACATTATAGTCATCAAAGTTTAGTCCAGAATTGTAACAGACTGAATGGTATTTGAAATCAACCTATATGAAGGGAGGTCAGTACTCTGAAAGCTGAGAGCATACTGTTGAAATAGGGGCTGATTTATGTGACTGGACATATCCACAGTGCTTAGGAGTCTAGAGGAGTTTGCCTCAGATTAAAGCATACAGATATGAACAAGACAAAGTGATAATGAAAATGCAAGAAATATTAGACCAAGTGTCCTGGAATCCTGTGTCAGAGGAAAAAAAAATCTTGAAGAAGCCAACTGAGCTGTAGACTTCTCAATGATGTTCAGCTATTCTGGTTGGGACAGAACTGAGGCTCCTGCAGATTTCTAAAAAGAAAAAGGTTTGAAGCCATCAAGAGCAGGTATAGGTGGAGCTGAATGTCATATGGACGATTTGTAATCCTTTCTCCACTATCCACCCACACTTGACCTCCATGTAGAACACTTGGCTATGGGGAACAGGACAGTGCTAGCTGGGGTAAAGGACAATCCTATAACTCGAGCCAAGCTCAAGGATTGTAAGCAAGGTCACTTGAACAAAGAAGCTCCATGATCCCTCTTCCCAAATGGTGAGATCGCTCTCTCATTTTTGCTGACTAGATAAGACTTACTCCATGGCTCTGAGTAGGGTAACACTGAGTTGTAGAAGCTGAAGAAGCCCCAAATAAGTGTGGGAAGAGTTGATAAGGTCCTGAGTGAGTGTGTGTTGTTAATGTGGGCACAGCCTTGTGGATTCCAATCCTGTGGGACTCCAGTGCTTCAGCCCCACAGGATTGGCAAATCCTTTCCACAGGGCTGAGGTTCAGAGGGATAGAAAAACCTTCCTCTAGTCTGAGTGGGTATGTTGATAGTGTGTGCAAAAACTGGTGACTGTATCTTCTTCCGGACAGATGGTTAGAACTTGATTCCTCACCTACAGTCTTACCAAGACTAACTAACCCCTCCTCTGGCGCTGTCCATGGTGAAAGTGCTGAAGTTCCTGCCTTCTGTTGCATAGTATGTGTGCTCTGCCAGAGCAACTGCGTTCCTTCCAATCCCAGCTTTTCTGTAGGTGTGTCTGCTCTTTCTTCTTTCCTTCTTCATTCCAGTTTCATTACCAGGACAAAGCCTCATGGATTGTGCTTCTGTACCAGTAGTGTGACAAAATCCTAGAATTAAATCTGTAAGTTCGAAAAAAGGTAGCAGATTCCTGAAACGTTTTGACACGAGAACTCGGCAGTAAAAGGGCAACTGCCTTCTTGACAGGAGGGATTCTGGAATGCCTCATCTCATTTGGTCAATGACTTGAGTGGAGTTGGTTGTACAGGAACGATTTGAACCATCTATGAGGAATGCCCCCCAAACTGAGAGAAGGCTCATGAACCTGGCCTTACAGTATCTTTAGGCAGGAGATGAAACTAAAAAGTTGTAAAAGAGGAAGAAAATGGAGCTTGTTACAATTCTGCAGAGGGCATCACATGGGGCACGTAGTAGGTGCTGGGAAAGCCAGCTAGACCTGACAAGTAGGAGCAGAGGCCAGCACACGAACTCCATGTGGCTCCTGTTCGTCCCTTAGCTCATTCTCTGGTGCCCT